CTTTTTGTTCAAAAAGTGGTGAACAAGACATCTGATAAAGAATGTTCATGCAAAGGATGCAACACCAGTAAAAAAAAAAAAATGAATGCATGCACGCACATAGAAAGAGAAAGATTTGAAGAAAAGAAAAACGTACAACTCGCAAAGAAAATGTCTGTTCACGGCAATAGGTGCAGCTCCCACCACAAACCAATTCTGCTGCTCTAGCAGGACACCTGGAAATCTAGGTTACCCTCCCTGGGATTAAATCAGACTAATTTAAACCCATATTACACATCGTGAAGCCAACAGCAGCCTTGGAAAAATGGCTGTTCAACAGCTTTTAAAGTGACAATAGAAATGCTGTGTCCCACTTCAGAGTGTCAGGTGTTTTCTGCAGACAGGAGCATGCATTCAGTTTTTGTATTCATCTATGCAGCATGCATATATCATATTCTTCTGTTTAGTTTCAAGAGTATTGCAACACAAATTATTTTGAACATTCTTTAAGGTGGAAAAAATGCATTTAAACATACGTGTTTTTGCATGAATACAAACATAAAAGTAAAATGTAAAAAATTCAAAACAAAATTATTACACATTCGCAGCAGGAAAATGGCAAGTTCCCGATGAAGCTATAGGAAAACTCAGATGATGATGTGATCAGTATGTACTTTCCTTCTAGGGGTTTCGGTTTATATTCTTTTCCGAGGTTTAGGAACAGATTTTTAGCTGAGTTTCAAAACACACTACGTCTTTCGATTCCTCCAGCGTGTTCGAGTTTGACAGTTTTTCCACCGCTCATGTGGGAGGCAGAAAAAAGAAAAGCGTCACCCGTGGCTCTCTTCAGCATTCTTTGAGAGGGCAAGGGTCTCGACCAGAAAAGCAGAGTATGACACCGTCTGAGTAACAACCATGCTGTAATAAGAATTGATTTCCATTTAATGGACTAATAACAGTTTAATCCAGTGCTTCTTTGGCCTCCTCGCCTCTACCTTGGAACTGCTGCGAAAACAGAAATGACTTTCACATTTGAGCAAAAAACTAGGGAATCTTTTCTGATCTTGGAGGAGGGGAAATTCTTCCTTTTCAATTAAACACTACATGCATAAAGTAGTTGACCGCTCTGACGTTGTCAGCTGAAGGACAGGCGTATTGTTGTTTCTCTTTTTTCTTTTGCGTTTTGGTTTTAATGTTTCTCCCATCACGAATGGTAATACGTATCTGCATGTTAGTAATTCACTAGATCCAATGAGAATCGGAGTAAACAGGTTAATAAGGTCATGAGAAAATGTGCTGTCCTTCAGAAACGGGTGATGACAAAAGTGGCCAATCTTGGTCAGGAGGAAGTTAACCAGCAACGAATTTCTGCCTGGGCTACAGGCAAGCATAAATCCATTTTTCATTTTTGCCCAAAGGGTAATCGATGATGGGGGTGACGAGACAACAGCACAACCTGAATGAGCAAGGGTACTCTGACAGGTTCAAAGTGGCCTGCTGGCTCATTTAAATTCAGTCCGCTAAACCCAGAGCCTTCCGCATTGCTACCGAGTTTCTACAGCGTACCACAGGGACAACTAGCTGGCACTTTAAACATGTTTTTTTATTATGGACTGCATAGTGTAATAGTCCTCAGGTCAGCAAAGAGTCCTAGATCTCCATTAATTCATATAAACTCTGCAAACGCTATAAGCTATACAAGCAGTCCACCAAGGACGCGATTTGCACTTGCTGTGGGTATCGCTTTGCAGAATGAGATTACAGTAAGAATCTGGAGTTTGTTTTATTTACATTGCAAGAACAAAACCATTTCTGAGAATCAGGTTGAAATTTCACCGAGGTCTACAGGTGTGACACGAATGAAGCATGTTTTTTTTTTTTTTAAAGGCACAAATATTATTTAAATTGTTGGATTACTAAATGTGAAAACCAGTATTCGCTGATTGCTTTCTTAGAGTGTCATTTATAGAGGATTTCACTACATCTAAAGACTTCTACACCAAAGAGTGTTGTACTAACTCACTGAGAAGAACAGAAATCGGATTGTATTTCCGTACGGCTGATCCCACCCTGGTCCAGTGCAAAATAGGCTGATTAGGTCACAAGAAAATATCAGTGCATGTCTGGTTTTGTAATTTGTGACCTTTTGAATCACCCATTGGGTTGATTTGCTGACGAGGAGTGATTAAGGTAGCACTTTAATTGGTCAGCTACTTTGGCAGAAAAGCAGTCACTGTACTTTGCAGGCCCGTCCAAACGAAAAAAGAAAACTGAATGCCCTTTGTTATATAAAAGTGTGTTTAAAACAAACAGGCGTATATTAGGGGTTTAGTTGTCTTTGCTGATTTAGTTTTTATTATTGTATTATCACCCGTCTATTAACATGTCAAAATTAGGCTCTTAGAGTTCATTGATATCATATATATTTACCAATTTATCTCTAAAAATAACATTTCAATTTCAAACCCACCCGCATTTTATGAATTCCAATTTTTCTTCTTTTCTCAAGTGACAAGCAAATGATACATAAGTTACAAAAAAAACAAACAAACAAAAAAAAAAAAAACATGACAGCCTGCCAAAGCTGCCAATTGACACTTATTAAGATCCATGGATTTATGCTAAAATAATATTTTGCATGTATGAAGGAGGGCTTTAATCTACAGAGCTAATGGGAGAGAACCATAGCGATGCTGTGGTACGTCCGTGACCTTGACCATGACCAGCTGTGTGTTCGTCCTGAAATAGGCTTTTTCAAGCTCTAATTATTCTGCCAGTGTGAACTTGAGCGAACTACAAAGATGAAGACGGAAGGAAGTTGGTGATAAAGTAGCTCATTACTGCTCCACTGAAGCATCAACGCTGATCTGTGGCTACTTTTTAGATTGGCAGTTACGTGTAAAAAGATATGAAATCGTCTCTGAATGGAGCTGCGGATTACTGACACTTTTATTTTTTTCTTCTTTTCCTGTGAATGCTCCTTGAATATTTATCTTGTATAGTAGGAAGCTTTCTATATCCCATGAGATAAATTGCTTTTCTGGAAGTTTGTTTAAAGTGAGTCATGACAGGAAGGCACTTCATCAGCTTCAACTTGCTATCGCCATATAGCAGCTTCACTGTGTCAGCTAGCCATGAATTACACAGCAGTCACAGTATGTGTGGCATGTGGTGAGTGGGCAGCCCACAGATTCTGGGATCAGGACTGCAAGAGTTGGTGCTTGACTATCGTCGTGTGATTAACATCCAAGAGATTCTCGTCTGAAATCAGTAAGATTGTTTCAGTACTTTTTGTTAACTGCAGTGGACAGTTAACCAATGCATTAGTAAAGTGATAATTAGTTGTGATGAGATGCAGCGAGTTTGATTGGTCTCTGACATGGGAACTTCTGATGTTTACTAATATTGCACAATAAATACAATATTTTTATGCAACTACTGTATATATTTTTTATATATTAAAATAGAAACAATCCCAATCCAAATTTTAAAATGCATCAGAAGATCTAACTACTCTCACTGCAAAATAAATATTACAACAAGAAATGTTACATTTCCTACAAATAAGTCATTGTTTCAATGATTTGTACGTATGCTTGGACTCACTGTGATGCTGAAGACCGAAATCCTTCTTCATTTTCTGTTTTCTTGCAGACAAGTAAAGGCATTCCTAATTATTTATAACTTCATCCACTTTGACAGACGCTTCAGCAAGATCTAACAAGAGCAACCCCAAAGCACGGTGCTGCAACCGCCTTATTTATCTAAAATAAGGTGGTTCATTTTAAAAATGTTCATTTTACCAGGGATGTGCATTTCTGAACGCCGCTGTGTCTGCATTGATGACGCAATCTAACTGAAGTATTTTTGAGTGAATCCATAAAAACTTCCAAAAAATGTTTAAAATGTCCAGTAGTGCATTAAAAATATCTTCATTTGTTTGTATGTATTGTTGCTTTTGTTGAGTATGGCAAATAAAAGGTAGTTATAGATTTTGAAAACAAAAACTAGTTAGCTTTTCCTTTCATTTTCATCCCCATAATCATTTAAATGACATTTAAATTAAATTCTGATCTCTATAATTTCATCTCAGACTGCAGTCTTGAGCTACATGAATTGCTTTAAAGACATTCCATGTCTTTAAAGCTTTTATTATTATACTTCTTATGCCCTTCTCAGATATTGTGCATATGTTTGATGATGAGAATAAGCACAGTGCATGTAATTTGTAATATGAAAATCTGATTCAATTCACATGTCCAGAAGATGCAGCTAACGTTGAACTGTCTTGAGGTCCAGTAGCTACTCTTATGAAACATCTACAAGTGCTGTGTTACATAATGCCTCCGAGTACAAACCTGAATCTGATCCAAAAAATAAGGACAATGATGGACACAAGTCCCGTCTATGAAAAAATAAATAAATACACCATTTAATGAGAAGTGAGAAGCTGAAGAATTTGGCTTTGGAAAAGCTAAATTCTTCATCTGAAGGCATTCGTCTGTTGGCAGTTTCTCCTTGTCAGATTTCAGGACAAATGTAATGTGGTGCCAGCAAAATTATTAATCACTGACATGTTTGTAACTCTAAAATAGGAAATGATTCTGAGGTGCTTTTGGCATATGAAAAAAAACAAAGAAAAAAAAAAACAAGGCATGAATTTGTTGTTGTACAGACATCTTGTATTTAATAGGTGTCATGTTTATTAAAGCTGTTTCTAAAGTGGTTTTCTTTATTGATACAGCCTTAAAGGCACAATGAAATTATTTAAGAGATATCCTATATCAACTCTTTGTTTTATGTTGGCTATTATTCTGTCTTGTTCCACTAACTTACTTTCTTCTCTCTCTCAGGCAGACTGCTGCACCTCTGCTGCCCGTCACTATAAAGTCGTAGCTAAAGGTGCAGTGCATCCAACCTAATCCGACTTTTTGTGATTTCGCTTCACTTGAATTTGCAAGCCCCATTGCACATATGCGTCTACTCGCACGGTGCCAAAAACCACTAAATGATTCACTTACCTAGCCAGTGTTCTCCGGTGATTTTGCCAAATCCTTCACGGTATGACTCCCATCCCCTGAAGAAGTTAACCGAGCCGTCCTCCCTGCGCTGAATCACCTAAACGATCGAGACAGCAAGACGAGAGACAAAGAGGTCAGATGGTTTTTCATCTCACACAGAGCGCTTCATCATCCTTTATGATGAGTCATTCTCTGTCCCACTGATAGTCGCTAAGCTCAAGTAGAACTAAACTAAATGAACTCATAAATGCTTGCTCTTTCGCTAATGAATAATGCAAACGCTCTCTCCGCTAAAAAGGCAATTTGTTGGAAGCTAATAAAGAGAATCCATTAAATCTTGACTGACTTTGAAACAAATTGCCATAGAATCTGCATACTTTGTTGAGATCCCAGAACAGAGATTATATTCATAAAAACAATGATTCTGAACACGCAGACACAAATACTTCAGTAGGAGGAAAGAAAGAATGCAATTATAAGCAAATAGCAGATTTTGCACATGCATCACACGCATCGGCGTCTCCTGTTAAAATATAAACCAAACCCGCTGATGTGACGAGCCGATGAAAGGAAATTAGAAACGTGTTCCTCAAGAGGAAAATGTGTGAATATAACTGGGGAGCTACGATTAGAGGGGTGTGCAAATGTTTTAAAAGCAAACGAAATTTCTTGAGACGGCGCATCTTCGCCATGCATAATCCCCCAACATTCCCAAAGAGTACCAGATGGCACAGACGGCCATTTTTCCTTTCAACATCTGCACCGACAAAGAAATCCAGCTGAGCAACAGCAATTATCCCCATTACCCCCTTATCCCACGTAACAGTCTTTTTCTCAAATATGTTAATCATCATTTATCCACATCATCTTCATACGTGCAGCTTTCTTTTTTGTTGTCAACATAAAGGGAACGTGAATTTTGTATTCTTTTTATCACATCAAAAACTATCGTCTTCTAACCTTTAGTTTTACAATGTCATTACAAATCGTGGAACTGGAACAAATGGGGGACATACAGGCGACATCCTAGCATGTCGCCTTACTTCAATTTGCTGGGCTTCTGAGGGAGACGCGTCCTGTGTTTCTGGAAGTAGTGTGGTTAAAAATAATAAAAAAAATACTGTGATTGAAGTGACGAAATACCTGAGTTCAACTATTTGGATGGGTGTTTAAATACATTTGGTAATATAGTCGACATACAAAATAAAATGGTCTAGCAGTAACTTAAGAAAGTTTTGAGGAAGTGCATTCACCTCGTTCACAGAACTAATGGCAGCAAAACCGAACTGTGTTGTGCTTTCTAACCATTCTTCTTGTGATTGTGACAAAATAATTTACTCCTCCCCTCATCCTGAGTCTGTATTTTTAATTTTATTAAGTTCTGCTGGAAAAAAGATTTGCAGTAAATCTGCTCATGTGCACTCAGTCTTGTTTTTGTGGTTCCATCTTGTAGGAGGCCACCCAGAGAAGAGAACATCTCAAATGTATAATTGAAAGCCCGAAATGAATATTACATTTGTGCTTATGATACGTTTGTCTAAATCGCTGATAGAAACTGCAAGCAGGCTCTGGCTTAATCTTGTCCAACATAAAAAAAGAAATTAAAAGGACGTGAAAAACAGAGCTATCTGGCAGCGGACTTCAAATAACGTGGTGAATTTAAAGTGCAATAACGTTACCGTCCAGTGCAACTGTCAGGATTCTTTTTTTTCAGTTTGGTCTTGGTGTGTTATATTGCTGCAGTAGAAGCTTAAGATTATAGACAACAAAGGAAACCTTGTGCAACCCTCAAAGATGCCACAGGGCTTTGTTAAAATAGCAGTGGTTCATGCATGGGGGGTAAAACAGAGTTTTATTGACCTGTAAAGAATAGTCACTTGGCTTACAAAATTCATGTACCACCAATAAAACAACAAACAAAACCTTCATATGCGCCTCACTGCAGCACACCAACTGCCCAGTCGCATTTCTCATTACGGCGAGGTTATAACCTGAAGGACATCGCTCTTCCTGTCCGATTGAATTTTATTGAGCATTTACCATTTGCTGCAAAACAGTAAAGGCTCATTTTAGCATAGTTATCCTCACTTAAATAAGGTGCAACAGAGATTTTAATCTGAAAGAGGAGGTGAAGTCAAAAGTTAAAAGGCCTACAAAAAAGGCTGTTTACATCCACTGGCGTTTTGTTCTTGAAATTGCAATCAAATGCTATTATTCAGCCCCCACTAATGAGGTTTGCAGGGGAATACCTGCAGTGATGTCAATCCGCCGTTTCCTTTGTTGTGGAAATCTCATGAGGGTGCTGAAGGTTAGCAAGCAGACATGAGGTCTAGCCCACCTGTTCCTTTTCACTGATTTATTGTGTCAAGTTTTTATTATTATTTTTCTACACACGATTATCTAAGCAGAAAGCAAGACTTTCCCAAAGAAGATGAGGCAACTTTTCTGCCTTCAAGCAACAGCCCTTCCTATCACCTGCCTCCATTTCACCCTCCTGCAGTCGAATGAGCTGACAGAGAAGAAAACTATTTTATAGCCAAAATGACATTTTCTTTCAGTACATCTGTAACTGTCAATGTCTCCACCTCTGGTTCTCAAAGTATCAAGTTTAAGAGGCAAAAATCATATAATGTGTCAGTGAACACATAAAAGGAAATAATGTCACACAACTCTTTCGGAAGATGATCCTGGATTATATTGTAAGAGGAAAATACCCAGATACAACAGTGTGCATTGCACAAAAATGAGAACCTGCAGATGAGGAGTCAAATCTGCAAATTAGACTTAAAATAAAAGTCCTTACATTGGACTTAGACTGGATGCTCAGCCTAGAAATGAGCTCTGGGATTTGAGCGTCATAAATAATCTTTATCTCAGCAAGCAAGTGAGGATCAATTGAGAAAATGATTAACATTTTTCCCTCTGAATTACCCAAGTGTGTACAAATGACTGGTTGTCATGGTAATGTTAGGCACAGTACATATGAATGCCTTGAAATGATTTCAACAGTATATGCCAGAAAATGGAGTAAAATTAGCTTTCAAGTTCACTTTTTTGTTTTAGTTATTGATGCCATCAAGAGACTGCATAAAACAGAATCTTCCTAAGTATTTTGTCCTGCTTCTAGTATAAGTATCTTAATTATTGTTGATTATAGATCAAGTATTTGTTCCACTGGCAGATTTATACTCATGGACGTTTATGGAACATGTTCTATTAAAGTTTATAAACACTGTTCATGTTAGCTCTAGCTTGATAATGACCATATGGATGTCTCTCAAACTGAGCTCCATATGACTTGAGCACATTTCAGAACTAAACGTCAACATCTTATCTGTCTTGCTTTTAAGCTAACGTTGCTAAAAACAAACTTTCGGTTTGTGAAAAGAAGTAGCAATCCTAGTTAAATTCATTAAACACTTGATTTTAATTGGTGTCGACCCATTTCTACTCTTCATCTTGGGTTATAAATGCATATTTATGTTTCTGGCGGGGTAAATATAATACCTTATTATTTTTAATAATCCATGGTGGTTACAAACAGATTTTTTTATGTTGAATATTCTGTACAAGATAAAGATATTTAATATCCAGGCCGTCGGGCGGTGCGAGCGTAGCACAGACAAACCCGTATACATGGCCATCACCAGTGACCTTTGCTGCATGTCTTCCCTCGCTCGCACAACCCACTTTCCTGTCTGACCACTCTCAAGGCCACTAGAGCCGATAAAACCTAAAAGAAAAAAAAAGAAAGAAAGATATTTAATATCCATCCATCTCTATGCCTGCTTATACTTGCAGGATTGCAGAGAGGACCGGTAGATATCTCCAGAAATCAATCCGTGAGAGGTGGGGTACACCCTCTACCCATTCATCACAGGGCAATGGAGAGAGAACAAACCACGCTGCTTGCAAAGATTTACTACTAAAGTCAATTTTCAGTAACGAATTAACCTCGCATGAACATTTTGGACAATGCGAATACCCACAGCTGAATTACTCATGTATTTACAGGGTTGGAGAACTTTCTGCAAATTCATATTGGAGAGTTCAAACTGGACTTAGAAAAATGACTTTTTTAACGCATCTGTTCGATAGGCACGCCTGTAATCAAAGGTGAATCATTTACAATAACCTTAGTTTGTAATGCTCCAACATGCACAATTAATAACATAAATTGACTCCTGGATAAAGATGCCATACCGATCAGCACCTGCCCATGTTCGGAGAAACCCCCCCTCAAAAAAACGTCAAACTGAACTGTGTGCAGCTTTTTGGACCACAGTGACAGAAGTTCACAGCAATGTTCCACTGCCACCAAAGTACAAGGCATTATTATTTTTTTTTTGTTGTTGTTCTTTTTGTTCAGCAAGTTAGACTTCTGTCCAGCTGTCTTCAGTGTGCATTTTTAGGATGATAGAGGTAATAAAGCTACTATACGTTTCCTCCCATGTTTCTATGAAGTCACAGTGACTAGTTGACATAGATTATGAAGTCATGCAACCCCTGATACAATCTCAAGGTCTGTACATATCTTTGAATGCCATATATGTGCTTTAGCAAACATTTCTGACCAGCACTTTCACTTGAAGATTGTCTGCAGCAACAACTCTTGTATGAACGAGACACTGCTGGTGCACACCAGTTCTAAACATCTTCATCCATCCACAAGAGTGGCTACATGGAACCATGGTTTCCAGTAGCAGTGAGAAACTGCCTGTAATTATACAAAGCTGGACTCAACCTCAGTAGTTCAGTTCATATTAGGGTCAGCACTCTTGCCTTGCTGGCGAAGCTCCCCATATGTCAAGACTTTCTGCAAGATGCGAGAGAAAATCTAAGGTTTAATTGCATGTTGACCCTTAAGGTTGGATTCTGTGAGGTCTTGACACACCAAGCAATGTCTCTTTAAGAGTTAAAGTGGAACAGGGGGGACGGAGGACATGTTGCAGTGTCAGATTGAGCAACTCAGTAATATGCATAGTGAGACCAATATACGGGGAAGTAGTGTTGTGTGGGCTTGTATCAGATTATCAAAAAATGTGACAGTATTACAGCTTGAGCACATAGTTAAAATTGTCTAGTCACTTTTATGTGTACAGAGGTTGT